GTGATAAATCTTGCCTGATCAGCTGGAGGAGAATGGACAGAAAGTACTCACAGTTAGAGAAAATAATGGTAGAAAGATTGCTTTGGGAGGCTGAGCTTGCTGCTAAATTACCATCAGTTTCAGTGATTGAGATTTAGAACTGTAGTGTGTCGGAGAAAAAGTGAATTTGTAGTAGTATGGGCTAGCAAGCAAATGCAGCTGTATTTAATTGTAATGGAATCATAAATCTCTTTCAGAAAAATATGACTACGTAGGTAGACTCCTAAAACCAGGGGAAGAACCATCAGAATACACAGATGAGGAAGATACCAAGGATCACACTAAACAGGAATGAACTTTGTAAACAACCAAAGTCAGGGGCCTTCGGAACTGCAACCTCTTATTCCCCATCACAGAATGTCCTGCATCTTTGGGTACAGTTCATCTGCTGCGAAAAAACATTCAACAGGTTTTGTACAAGGAAAATAATATACTCACAAATGAAGATTTGAATACTAGACATTCTTTGTGCTGCCAAATTTTTTGTTGCAGTTTATTTGTAATGTCTGGTTAGGCTTCGTTAGTGAAGAGGGGCCAGGGATTTAAAGGCAAAAATGCTACTCCTTTTTATCAGTAAGCTGAAGCCTTCAACTAGTGTACCTTACAAGCTCTCTAAAAGACGTGACTCTTCAAGCTCAGAGGAAGGTTTGAATCTTGTTTCGTGTGTGTCTTCTCCTTCAGCATTAAAAGAAAGATGTGTTCATCCACATCAGCATCAGTAGGTGAGACTACTGAAGCCGGTGTTAAAAATGTGAATTTCCAGTTTTGTTTTGTGTGTGGGCGTTAGTAGCCCAGCAGAATCCTTCAGTTCTCTAAGAGAAGTCCACGTAGATTAGGATGGGGATAAAATTCATCCTTTTCTCAAAAGGATTGGGTAAAATAAGTTTCTTCTACAACAACTATTATCTGAAGCCTGCCTCTCCCCCTTTTTCCCATCCTCTAAATCAAATCAAATATTAATTGTGCCTTATTTCGCTTAAATAGACTTGAATTGTTTTAAGGGACAGCCCCCAAATTGTGGTTTCATAGTCACTACAAGCAGCAGTGAGACTGAATTGGAATGTTCTGTTGACTGGAAAACCTTGATGTCATTCTGTGTATAGAATGTAAAAGAGGAGCACTCAGTGTTACTGCCATATGTTAATACTACATATACTTAAATTAGCATTGTGATGGCCAAATGCATACTCCCATGCTTCTTTTTAAGGAATTACAAACACACAAAAAAAGTCTCCCTTCCTCCTCTTCCAGAAGCTGCCTAACTTTTGGGAGCATAGCCTTCACACCCCCGTAGAGTGAAGGGGCGTTGTGCGCGTGTGTCTCTGTGTGTGTCTGTCTGAATGCAAGACTTGGGAGGGATTGTTTCTGCAGATATTGTAAATACGAGTACCATTTTAATAAAGCATGTACAATACCACATGTGCTGTCAGACTTTGTGTACAAGCTGGTAAGCAGAGCTGGAATATGATGCAATAAAAAGGGGGAGAAGTCTTGGATAGATGAAGCTGCCACTGCTCTTTGTCCTGGTGGAGTTTTTTTTCCCTTTCAAGTCCCAGCTGTTGAGGAATCTCGAAGACTTGCTCAGGTAAGCTGTATTTAAGAGACTAAACCTATCCAGTGAATTTATGGTGGGGAGTGGGGGGGAAAGTGATACAAATAAAGCATTGTAGTAACTGAGTGCAACATATAAGGAATTTGTCACATGGCATTAACAGGACAAGAACAGCAGCCTCATGGCTTATGTGTGTACCTCTGGTTGCAAATTTCACCTGTGTTAAGTCTACAGTAACAGTTTGTATACATACATTCTGTTGAACCATAAACTGAAATTCGAGGGATGATTACTTTTTTTTATTCCTATTTGAGTGAAAGAGATTCATGTTGATGTAAATTAAACAAATAAACAAAAACTCCTCTGTGGAATCGTGTGTAACTCACATGTCCTGGAAGGCAGAGTGAACTCTTTTTCATATCTAGCCTTGAAATAGAATTGTTTTGGCCTGGAAGAAGTAACAGAAATGGAGCTGTTTCTCTATAGAAGTGTTTGCAGGCTCCTGCAGAGGCTGGACACGCCTGGGAGGTGTGAATTCAGTGAGCACTGGCTCCTGTTTGAGTCACGTCCTTATAAGCGGAGCAGTGGTGCAGTGTCCAGGCTGGGATTGAGTGTCTGCTAATCATCTAACTCTGCTGAAATGCTGGGCATGCTGCTGTAACTAACCACAGAAATATGTGGCTTAGATGGAGCAGGGGGAACCAACAGGATAAATAAAAGCTTCCTTGCATAGGACAGGGGCTGGGAGTAATTAAACACCAGTTCTATATCTGGATGCTTCGCTAGGGAATTTTTTTCTTTTAGGTAAGTCTCACTATAAAAGGTTTTACAGTACATTTACAGTATGCCTTTTACTTTTAGCTATTGCACAGCTGTTGCACGTCATCACGGCACCCAGTTTGTCTGGCTGTGGAACAGGAAAAGGCAGCTTGCCCAACCATCCCTTAGGACAATCGGATAGGTGTTTGTCCCCAGGCTTCCACATGAAAATACATGTATGTGTTACAGCTTCTGCTGTAGAGAGTCATAGCTGGAAGTTCCTGACCCTTGCTCTGAGTTTCTTTGCTCTCACTCAGTGCAGCTGTAGCATTAGCTGATTGTCGTGCTTGTATCTAACTTCCTACTGCTGCAAGAAAGGTAACTTTTGAAGGGAGAGTAGTTTTGTATCTGCTGTGACTTACTAGCCCAAGTGCAGTCTTTTCCTTTCCCTTGCTATCAGAAAGGCAGTGAAGCTTAATCACAGTGAAATTACGTGTAGTTGTGTTGTTTTGAAATTGCTTTAGGAGGACAATACTTAAATTTTAGCTTTCAGGATTAGCTGAACAACAAGATGGGTAAAGGGTGAGTTTTGCTTTGAAGCACCTTAATGATAACTGAAGAATACAAAACTTGTCCATGGCAGCAGAGCATTGCATAGAATTAATGTCTATTAAATTTAAATTTAATTAAATTAACCTCATCCATCCTACATACAGTCACTAGTGATCTAAAGCTGACAACCTAAAAAAGTGCTTTAAAGCACACTGTAGCTTTCATATTTATAAAAAGTTGACACACAGCATAATTTAGCATAACATCAGATCCATCCAAACTTCAGTGCAATTATAAAAATTTGATGGAGGCGTTCAACCTTGGAACATTTGTGTCAATCTCTTGGTCAAAATTCACTGTTAGATGAAATGACAGGCATGCTGATACTGTGGTAAATTTTGTTTAAGCAACATGAGGGTCTTGATGGAAGAATGTCTCATCTTTAGAAACAAAATGCATTTCCAGTTTCATATATGACTTGTTTTCCTAGGCTAGACTTGGTGTTAAATTAGTTTTAGTCATCATTTGTTTTGACACTTCTGCCTCATTTTGTACACCACTTCCCAAAAATGCTTCATTTTGGCAGTAGATGTATTTTCAAACCTCCTTGGTTTAAAGAGGAAAAAAAAGTACCGTGTTGTTAGTTGATCTGAACATTTTGAATTTCCAGTAAGGACTACAGAATTATCTCACATGCTTGTACTTGTTTGTATCTTTTTATTGAGCTAGATCTACTTTTCCTTGACTAAGGCTTAAATTTTCCATCATTCAGACTTGGACATAGCATATAAAATCAGTTTGGCATTCTGCTATGGTTGTTGTTTCACTTTAAATATCTCAGTGCTGATCTATTTCCTAACTTTTTTTTTCTTCCTGCTGTCAAAGGCAGGGAGCAGTTAAACCTTTCATAGGCTTTATTTGAGTCTCTTGGACAATATTCTGTTTGACAACACAGAAGAGTTGGTGGGGTTTTATTTCCTCTAGGAAGAGGTACTATTCCTCCGTATGGAACAGTACAAAAGATTTGGCTATTTATTCCTTTCCCCCTAAACATCAGCAATAAGTAACTCTGGCCTTGCAGACTTGCTTACAGATGGAAAGCAAATCCTTCTCCTGGCTTTTGATTTATGGTTAAAGGTGAATGTTTCGTAACAGGTGCTCACAGCTTGGGTTTAAGCTTGCTTTGACACAAGCTGTGTGCCAGGTGAAGGGTTGTTTACCTGAAATCCCAAAAGCACAGAGGCTGAAGACAGCAGAGAAGAAAGCTCTTGAGGTGACAGATCGAGCCTGGTGTAGCTGTGGGAGTTGTCAGGAGGAGATCCTTAGCTACTCTGAAGTGTCCTCTCCCAGGGAGTGTCATTTGTCACCTCAGCAGTGCCTCAAGCAAAGGCTGCAGCCACGAATACAAACTCTTGCATCCATTCTAATGCTTTATCTCCCACAGAAATCCAAATCCCTGTTAAAACACAGACAGGCTACTGCTGCTCAGTGTAGGAAAACATTATCTGCTCTCCAACAGGAACCAAGAGCCAGCCTGAGTCTTCCATTTTAGAAAGCTGTTTAGAATCTAGTATTTTGAGCATGATAAAAATCTGGTTTTAGGCAGGGTAACATTTTGAAGTGTTTGTACAGCTATTTGTTAACAGAAGAAATAAAGACAAACCTAAAAATTCTTCAGCAGGCACATGGGAGAATTTTTAGACAAGGTCCAAGACTTGCAAAGTGGGCAGTTACAGACCACTGTCTTAAGACACAGGCAAGGTTGGAATGAATGGACCTAAAAGGCATGGGAAAGGATGTTGGATACACAGCTATGCCCTTCACCAAGGCCCATCAGTTCCTGAGAGGTGAAGAACCAGACAGTGAAACCATCAGCAATGCAAGGATTGTTTTTTCCACTATCTGCAAGGGAAGAGGGGGAAGATTCAAGCCTGTGGGAAGTGAAAGGGGCATTCCTGAAAGGCAGCCAGAGCTGTGGCCGGACTGGGGTGGTGTTTTTGTCCAGCTCACTAAAGGGACACGGAGCAGCTGCAGAGGCCAGCAAATTGGGGTTTTTTCACACTTTTTTTGGGGAAAAAAACTTGATATACAACACTGGTAGGGTTTTTTGTTGTTTTTATAAAATTTTCCAATATATCACAAAATTACACACACTAAAAGCTTAATCTGCACATTTTCCAATGAAAAATTGAAATATCTTAAATTTATTACTCGTATATACAATTTCAATCCAAATTTACATTCGCATTTTCATGGGTAGCAAAAGGCATGGATCAAACACAGGATTGAGATGTGTCACTTCAGCATATTTATAGGATATTTACTTCAAATCTTGGTATGTGTTCATTTAAATTTATTTAGAACAGGCCACTGACAAAAGGCTGGATTTTGTGCTGAAATGGTATAAACTGTGGGGAAAGTCACTGCTACCATCCACTCCTTTCAATGCCAACATCCATCATTTGTTTCAGTGAGATTCACAGCACAATGACTGAAAAATTAACAGATTCACTGTAACCTCTGAGAGCTGTTAGTTTAAAGCTCCATCTATGGCCGTGCAGTCGGTTTAAGGCATCTGTGCTAGGCATCACTTCGTAACTTTTTTTATAAATTAACTGAAGTAATTCTGCAGTTAACTAACCAAAAGCTGGAATTCCTCTCACCTACCCCAGAAGAGAAGTTATTCACTTGGTTCTTCTTGAGTCTTTAAAAACAAAGTAGTGAAGTTAATAAGACATGACAGGTTATAAACATCCCCCTCTTTCAGCTACAAAAATGGATTTTTACTTGAGTAACTTACATTCAGTGAAATTGTCTTTAGACCTGTTTGAAATCATTTAGGCTTAGCGAGCACAATTTAAGCAGAACTTCATTCAGATATTGCAAAACAAAGCAAATTAAAATTAAAATTTACAAGGAATACTTTGTTTCCCTCCAAACTAGTTACTACTTGAAGTATGGAGATAAAAAATTCAAAATTATGCCTCTCCTGCTAGACTTCATAATCATAAGAGAATTCCAATGAAGACACCTCTCAAGCCCAGAGTATGAATAGTTGGCTATTTTAACAATCTGCACAAACTGTAGATACTGAATGTTAAGACACTACGAAATTAAAAGCTCAATTCTCCCCTGTAGTTTTCTGTTGCTTGAGTTAATTATTAAAGAACCAGCACTGAAGGAAATACCTGCAAAACTATCCCAGTTATGTCCACTCAAACTCCATACTTAATAAAATACTAACTATGGAGACCCTGAAAAAAAATAGAAACTCTATCTTTAAATAGAATCCAGAAATGCAGTTTCATATACAGCTGCATGTTCTCAAATGTGCTTTTGCAGAAAAACATATTTTTTTGATAGTTAGCCTTGAAAGCAAACCTGTCACATTCCTTTCCATTTAATATTCTACATATAATGTAATCTTTTTTGCTTTGGTAAAATACAAATAACAGGGAAATATGGGTAAGGAAACCACAGTAAGTAACATGGGTATACATCATACTTTTTTTAAGAAATCTGAGCTGAAATGTAAGGCATCCCTCGAAGTTATTTTTTGCATATGCAAGGAATGCAGTTCTTTGTAAACAAAAGCTTGAGGAAAGCAATACTGAAGCCAAAGAATCTTCCCTAGCATCCTTCCAATGATCCCATAACCAAGAGCAACTCTCCTAGGGCAAGTGTTTTGGAACTATATCCCGTGAAAAAGAGCATCCCATCCTTTGTCTTCCCATACATTTTTAATCACGTAGTAGAGACTGCCTCGCCTTGAAGATCTCCAGATCAGGGGAGCGATGCCAAAGTTGATTCTCGAGGGCACAAACTCATCCAAAGTCTATTTTTCTGGTACATCACTTTCTATAGATTTTGTGGCTTGCACAGTATTCCCAGAGGAAACACTTCCCAGTGCCCGGGACTGACAGGCAGCGGCGGGTTTGGTGGTGGGAAGGGTTTTAGAAGAGTTGGGCTGATGTCTGCGGTGCCCTGAATCCTCACCTGATCTCCTCCTGCCACACTCTTCACCAATAGGAGGCTGAAAAGAAACATGGGCAGCCTGTTAAGTGTTTTGCCATAAAGCCAGGTGTTTTTTGCCTCTCCACAGACTTGTAGGACTGAAAGGATTAGGCTTTTTGAATTTATCAGGCTGCCATTTCATGAAATCAAGCACTGCTCTCAGATTACCTAGCAGTGAAAATGTTAGTATACCAAATATTATTTAAAATAGGCATTGAAACTTACATCCACCCTAAAGTCCTCCAGTCTCTTAAATTTACTCAGGTATTCTTGCAGTTTGGGGTCAACAGCTGGAGTCTTGTGCTGAGAGTATTTTAGGTAAGCCCAAAATTTTTCCAGTCCATACAGCTGACCTAGTAACAAAAAAAGATAATTTTACCGCTTTACAAAGGTCAAATTTAATTATAAACTTAATTATTCACTGGTAACTATATTTTTAAGAGAACTGAAGATAAAAAGAATATGAATTAAAGCTGTTCTTGGTTAGTTAACAAGTCAGTGCCGAGGAACTGGGATTATCTTCAACTAATGTTACCACAGTGTTAGTAGTGACAGGCCTGTGATAATTACCAGCTTCATAGTCCCTCTTTGTTTCTTGTTGGAAATCCTCGAATATTTCTTTCCTGAATTTCTTTTCCAGGCCATAGCTGTAAAATCTGAACAAGCATTCCAAGCCGTACCTGGAACAGAACAGAGAGGTACAACAATCCACCTTGTCTCTTTGGCTCAGAGAAGTAGAGGTGGGACAACTGGGTGGAAGGAAAGGAATTATATCCAAGAACTAAAAGGCAGTGACAATTTCCTTTGTGGTTCTTTTTCTGGTATTTTTGTAAGGCAAGAACCAGTTTGAACAAGTCAAATGAGGTTTAAGAATGTCTGCACCTACAGAAGGAAGAATCTGAGGAGTGTTAGTATAGAACTGACTCGTCATGGTCAACAAGTTACAGGATTTTGTAGAATTCAGAACTGATTACAGGCCAGGAAATGCTGCACAGTCAGCTATTCATCTGCACAGCACAATTATATACTGATTTTTGCTATTAAAGTAACTTACATACACTGCTATTTTACAAAAAGTCAGAGGCAGTACTAAAAATGTTCACTGCAGATGTACATAAACTTCACAGTCATTGAAAGGAATGGTAAGGCCTCAGGAAAAAATACCTGTAGTGTTCTTTTGCATCCTCTAGAGCAAGCTGTTTGAATTCTTCATACATTTTCTTGTTGAAATGATCTCTCAGAAAAAAGGACCAGAAACGAAAAAGTGTGTTCATTTCTTGGGACTGGCCAATTCCCAACCGTTTCCTCTCTGGAAGAAAAAAGAAAGGCAAGAACAAAACCACTAGTTTAATTTTTCACCAGAATATTTTAAAGTTCCTTATCTTGAGTAAAAAAACACACCAGATTTTCTGGTGGCTTCAGATTTGAGGGTGATTTTTTTGTCAGGAAATGTAAAGTTAAATGGAAAGCAGGGTTCCTAAAACAGAGGCACCAAATAAATTTTCCTTGCCTTTCCCAAGAAAAATTAAAGATGAAGAACAATGGGAAGAAAACTGGTATCAGAAAACACCTGGAAGCTTCTAAAAATTTGAGGAAGTGCACAGAGCAGCTTACCTGTTAAACACCTCCGCCGGTATTTGTGGTACACCTGCTGAGTAAAGCCATTTTCCTTTAACAGTTCGTGAGATGGGTGCTGGAATTTGGGAAGAGAATTTGGAGTACATCCATAACCTGCCAGTGGAGCTCCTTCTGAAGGTGAGGCATTGGAACTGCTGGAGAAAAAAAACCAACATATTTGTGTCCTGTAAACAGAGCTTTCCTGCAGAATCAGTTCTCACCCACCCTGACCCACGCAAGAGCTGAAGTATGGTCACCTGGGGACTGCTGCAGAGCACCTGGGTTTGAGTGCACCTCCAGAAAATCAGATTCTTGTGCCAATATGTCAAAAATAAAACAGCTTTGGACAATAATTAAACATTACTGTCCAGCTTGATTTTAAATGACCACTGAAGCGAACATCAGTGCCTCAAGTAACATTACTGCTGCTGTATCAAACAACACTGTGAACACCAATCAGCCTAGCTTGTTCCCAGACAGCTCTGCATTCCATATTTTTGTCTTTCTTGATCATTCTTTTCTTGCTTCCATGGTATTTATAAATTGCCTTTTAAAGCCTGTTTCTTCATTAGTAGTGAGAACTACCTGCAAATAAATTTTGAATAACAGCAACAGCATTTACCTTACAGAGGAAGTTCTTGGCCTGTGGTCTCTGGAATCCATCACCCAACCAACATGGCATTCCAAAGGAGGATTTGTACTGTGGCGAGTTTTTCTTTTTCTTGGAGCCTGAGAAAGTAAATGAAGGATTTATTTCCCTAATTTGACTTCACTCATTCTCTCCCTTTTAAAACAGAGATCTAATAGTTTTCTATTCTGTTATCTAACAGGTTATAAAGTCACCAGATCACAGTTTCATAACCTGAAGATTAGTCTTATGTAACTAATCAAATGTCTTAAGCACTACACTTCTTTCAGTAAGGACTTTCAAGGAAGAAGACTCAAAAAGCATTTAATAGAAATAAAAAGTGAATATGGTAAATATTTTGGAGTTAAGCAATAGGAGTAGAAGCATTTAACTTTCTGCCTTTTAATTCTTGTTAAACTGTATGCACAAACATGAGTTTTATAGGCTTTTGCTGGTTTGGTTTTATTTTAAAATATGTTTTTTTCATTTACCTTTACATCAAAGGATCGTGCTTCTTTAACAACAGGGTAGAACCTGGGTGTTTTGTTGGGATCCTGGAGCCTTGGGGTGCGAGGTGTTCGTGGGATGAAGCCAGGGTGGAAACGGGGGGAATCTGGGACTGCTGTTGGCAGCGATCGAGCCACTCCTGCCGTGGGAAGTACTTCAGCACTCACGAAATTACAGGCCAGCTCCTCTGCTAAATATGGAGGCAGGAAGGAGAAAGTGAGGTGGTTTTACTGAGCTACTTTACAGATGCTATTAGCATGTAACCCAGTAAATGTTAATGGTACCACTGTGTCAGAAATACCACCAGAGATAAGACTTGGATGGTGTGACTGCTTAGTAATGGTATGATACAAGTAAGTAAATTCTTCTGATCTCATTTCCTTCCATCCCTGAATCCCATAAAAAATGCTGGTTTCTATAAAATGTTTCACAGCTTCAGTTTAACTTTACACATTGTAAATTCCAAGTCAAACAAAGAGCACCTGGTGCTGGTGGAGAGCGACAACAAAGCAGAACAAGCGCCAGCTTCTTGTCATTCAGCTGAAACCACACTACCCATGAACAGTTGGCAATTTGAAAAATTAGCAAAGAAAAAGCCTCCTCAGACTGCTGACTGAACCAAAATTAAAATACTGCACAGGCAGAAAGAGTCAAAACACCTACAGAATTGTTCTTTATTACAGAGATTCTGAAAAACAAATGCTTTCATACTTACTTTTCTGTAACCCTGGAGGTCTTGGAGGAACTTCTTGGGTTGGATCAGCAGTTTCTGGTGCAAGACTAACAAATTCATCCTTATGAATGAGGTTCAGCTTCTTAAAGTTCTCAATCTCTTGCTGAATTAGAGAAAGCAAATTGTAAATGCAAAGCAGGGCAATAGATACCATCCTGAGAGACAGATGCATTTCATGAAGAGGAAATAAGCTAGAACTGACACACAAGAACCCACACACCTGTCTCAGGTGGGACATGCACATGTTGGGTGTGAAAAATCTCATCAAATCATTGTCAAGTCCGTAACAACAACAAAAAAGAAAATATTCTCCCTTGCAGTTTGCTACTTCTCACTACCCTCTTCATGTTTGCTGGTTTTCTTGGTCCATTCTAATCAGTATTCTAAATTCTACCTTTATTTCTTGCTCTTATTCTCAACAACCATTTCCACCTTTCTCATCTTGCTTTTGTGCAGACATGTTCCATCTGTCCATGCAGCTACTTCCCCCTCTTTGTGCACAGATAAAGCCCCTTTCCCTCACCAGTCGGTGTTCAGGTAACTTCATTCTAGCTATTGTTTTAACAAACTACAAGGCCAACAGAACCTTAATATAAAATGACTTTAAAATTACTGTATTACTTCCCTCTCATCATCTCATCTCTGACATGTACCCCCTTCCCCTCTGGGTAAGGGTTTGCAGTTGTTATGAAACAAACTACTCACAGAATAAGCAAACATTGGAAAACTTGAACCGTCTCCAAAATGTTACAATAAAATATTCATTCGGTGTTTTTGGGCAAGTCTGTTTTTTGCAAGTCTGACAAAACTTGGGTTTGCTTTCAACTGTAAAGACTATTCAGCAGACCTGCAAATTACTGTCACTTTCCTGTAGCATTTTACAACTACATAGCAGAAGGCTGAAGTTAATTTGGAAACTGTCTAGTCAAAAATAAAAGAGAATTACCTTCATCATGGCATCATTTTCACTCTGATCCATCCACAAATCCTGTTCATAGTAGTACAAGCCATCATTAATGACTTTAGCAAGTTCTGATGTAATTTTTGCATGGCACACACGGTTGCCAGAACGGTCTCCACAAGGATGTTTTTTCACAAATGGTGGTGTCTGTGTTACAATTAAAATCTTGTTTACATCCTGATCATCAATTTCATAATCAGAATCGCTATCTGACCAATCAGTAAATTTATTTTTCCGACACTGATTTTGTTCCATCTCTTCGTCAAACAAAAATTCAAGTTCTTCCTGTTCTTGTTCCTCCTGAGGTGGGAATGGCTGGTGTTGATCTGGTGTTTGATCAGGTACAGGAACAGTCTCCTAAGTTGGAAAAGGTTTTATATCTGAATAGGATAATGATTTTCCAAAGTTTACTGCATTCTCAAACACCACATATGTTAAGATGTTTAAACCTTGGTTTACCTTAGTGTGACCTCAAAGGTGGTTTTGCATTTGTTTATTTAAACACAACATAGAGGTTTTTGATTTTACCTTTAGCTTGACAGTGGATGCACGATGCCTCTTCTTCACTTCTATCCAAGGTTCAGAGTCCAAATCAGGCAAACTTGTAGACAGTCCTTTAGACATTGTCTGAAAATTACTTGATTCAGTGTTTTCCTTTGGACTCAGCGGGCTCCCCACTCTTGGAGAACTTGGTGCAGACTCTAGCAGTAGAAAACAGTAGTTCAGTTCCTGTTGTGGATTGCTTTGGTTCTATTTTGTTTGTTTTTCAATTGTTTCACTGGTCTTTTAACCACAGCTACCATTTTTCTACCTCTCTGGATAAACATAACAATGATCAAAAAATTATTCATTTTTAAGAGACAGCTTTTCACAGTTCACTCAGCATTTCAGAACAAAATCAATTTTAAGAATTTATTTCCATGGAAAGTTTCTTCATAGTCTGTCAGACATTACGTGTTGTTGAGGAGAAAAAAAAAGAGCAGCATCATTAGGATCTTGTTTTCTCCGTGTCATTCTCTAGCTCTGTGGATGGGTGCCTAATTCCATCTTCATTCTTCCCATTTAATTTCAGCCAACATTTTAGGAAAAGATTCCCTTGCCAAGGGTTGTCAGCAAACAAATGCATCTCCTTATTAAAAATGTGAATGAGTTTCCCATCCAAAACAAGGATGCCCCAAATTAAGAGTGAACTTCCAGGTGCCACAAAAATAAAGCAGATTTTAGGACTAGTTTAAGACTTGTATTACCAATTCCACAGGACTGTAGCCCACCATTCTATATTCTGGAGAATGGTCACAGCCATAACACACAAGAGACATTTTTATCTACTTCACATCAGCCATGTGACTTGGCAAGTGCAAGGCTGGCAGGCAGAGCAGCTGAATAAACCATTACCAAAAGTACAACTTCTATTATGAAATCAGTACCATGAGGCAAATTTCCTAAGCTAGGCAGACAGCCCTAAACTTATGTTTCTGTAAAATAAATCCTTTACCAGTATGAGAGCCAAAAGTTTGGCCTGGTATGAATTCTGGACAATTGATGAGCTGAGAAAAGTCAGTTGGAGGCAGGTTGCATGGAGGAGGACCTGGTATTGGCCACTTTTCTGGATCAACCCTTTTTCTTAGTTTCTGATCCACAGTTTCAACTTCTGTACTGTCCTTTAGGGCCTGTGTGACAAGCATATTGTAACATTAAAAACTATCAAAAAAGGAAAAAAAAACCAAATACCAACTTGGCCACTTATAGCCTCTTTATAGAATCCTTATCATTACAAACAGAAATTTTTCTTAGTTTCATAGCTCTGAAGCTATGAAAGCACAGAATTAGCTAAGCAACTTTTCCAACACATTCTTCTGAATGATTTTACCTCCAAAATGAGCGCAGCATTCGTAGTCAGAGCTTGCATCCGACGGAAACTGGCGATCAGCGACACAGGCAAAAATCCTTGTTGGTCCATCTTCCTCCTCAGGAAGAAATCTCTCTCCAGATTTTCTGTGCTGAAATAATACTCACTGCAGAACGAAACATATAAACCTGAGCTTATTCTATGGTTAAAGAAAATCCTAAAGCAGCAACCTAGATTCCTTGTTAAAGGCTTCCATTAAAAAACAGAGTATTTTGACATCAACAAAGCCATTCTTCAGCAGACGACCCAGAGAGCAGCAAGCATGCTCGACAGGTTAAGACAGATTTATGACTCAGCACAGTACAGAGGGGTAAAAATCAAAGCCTTGTGACATTTGCACAACCAAAAACTACGCTCCAGTTTTCCTTCACCCACCCCCTCCCTCATTACTTACATGGACAGAAGGGAACAAGATTGTCTTGGCCTCCATAGAGATGAAGGACAAGCACTGCTCACAGTCAGAGCATAACTTATGTCCCACACAGCAGTACCAGTTCATCCTGAACTGCATCTTTTGTTGTCTCAGTTTCCAGTGCATTGGAAGGCTTAAGTATCCTATCTGAGTGCTGAGGCACAGACAGATACCCTGAACCAGCAAGCATGCTTGTGGGAAGATGAGAAAACAAAACCAGTCATGTTGTAATTTGAATGAAACTGTACAAAAAGGCACAACAGCTCATGGAGGGAAAAAGCCTTAAAGAATGGATGATGTTGAAGGACAAGGACATTTCAGGAATCTGGTAATACCACAGAGACAAGGGACAAACAGCAGAAGGACAAATTTTCAACAATGAAGCCGCTCTAGGAAATATTCCGGGTGTCAAGATGTTTTATGCTTAGTGAAGACAAAAAGTGAGGAATTCAAATCATGATCTCTCACACAGAGCAAGGGAATGAGAAAAGGTCCTATGGAAAAGAATAGCAAACCCCCTCAATTTACATAACAACTGAAATCTAGGCCTTTCATAGAGCTTACACATCATAGCACGATTTTGCACAGTACATCCAAGGAATACTAACACCTCATCACATTCAGAAAAACATAGGTAGGGAAAGACTTAATGGAAAGCAGTTCAAACTGTATGACAAAAATAGAGGTAGCATACAAAAGAAAATGAGAGGGTATTAAAATGCTGAAGAAAAAAGCTGCACATGCAAATGTAAATAAAGATCATTCAACTTTCAAAAAAGAATAAAACAACAAGTCTCTCCACTGAAGCTGGGATCAAGGCCAAAGTCTCCAAGAGCAGGGCACTCTGATGCCATCACTGACCCAAGCAGCACCTTGATACCATTTCTTTCTCTAATTTTTTGTAGCTGAAGAAATTTGAAGGAAAAGCTGGCTCTATGAAATGCACAGATCACACACAGAATATTCTGAGCTGGAAGGACCCGCAAGGATCCTTGAGTCCAACTCCCAAGTGAATGGCCCACACAGGCATGGACCCTGAGACCTTGTCAGTATCAGCACCATGCTCTGACCAACACTCACCTCCAAGACAGAATGAATTTAAAGTCTCAATGCTGGACAAGACAGGACAAATGGAAACACTGCTATTAAATCAAAGCAAACAGAGAAGAGAGCAAGGCTTTTGGAGAATTGAGCTCTTACTCAGAGCCAAGTATGATCAGTGAAGCAACTGGGCACAGAGAGATAGTTTCTTTCAAGAATGTCCTGTCTACTGGTCTGAGCTGCTACGTTCCTTTTCCCCTCCCAGTCTAGAAGATAAGCAAGCACAAATGCCATAAACCAACATTTCACTAGTGTTACCTTTACAATCATACAGTAAAGGTAAAATCCTGTAACGATTCACCTAGTTAAAAATTCCACAAGCAGAAATGGACAATGACTGAACTTGACTCAAACTGCCTCACTTGATGTCCATCACTCTAGAAAAAGGAATGTGAAAGACCATTAATGATAAATGAAGACAATGCATAAGTTTGCTCCAAGCAGAGGGATAAACCTAAACACACACACACCCTCCAGCTTTTCTCTTCCTCCTTTTCCTCAGAGTCCCTTTCCTTGTTCTTGAATTGATGTTTGAACTTTTATTTGTTTATTTTCTAAAGCAAGAGGACTTTTTAAATAGAGTTCTGCTGCACACTGCAGCAGAGGAGCTGCTAAACACTGAAACTTTTCAGGCTGACAGCTTCAGCCTGTGGTTAAAAACATAAGATATCTTTGTATGCAATCCAAATATTACTCTCTTGTACATCGAGCTGGTTCTTGGGACAAGCATAAATTGCTTGACAGCAATGTGCTTCTTCCTGTAATGACACATCAACTCAGTTGGACAGTGTCTAATATTTTTCTGTATTAAGCAGGTCCAAATTTACTGTTCAAATTTATTAGGACTAGGATTCAATGTCACTTCTTTAATATATCCTGATTTATCTTGGACACCAATAGGAACTCTGAGACATAACAATTTTGTGTACCTTTATTCTGTATCTACTTTCCTCTTTGGCATAGTCACTTTCATATTTTATAGCTAAATTATGAAAAGCAGACAAAGCCACCCCAATTTAGAGGCTAATAATAGGTAACTGAAGAATAAAGTCTGTTTCCCATCATTATTAATATGATAAAAGAAGGGAATAAATAAAAATCTGGGTTTTTTTTGTCTAGGGAGAATAAAACTAGTGAAGTTCTGTTCTAAATCTGCTCAGGAATCTCCCTCTCATGGAAAGCAAATTCCATAACCAAAAGCCTTAGGAGTTCACACCAGGCAAGCAACCAATGGCCGTGGTTATCCAGCCATGCCAAGTCTTCTACCAACACCTGCCAACCTCTCGGTGCCAAAAGGGAATACAAATATACCCAGAAGTCAGATGTGACCAGTGCTGTAACTGACATTTTTCTCAGCAGAGGGGACATCATCATGTCCTACCTTAGCAGGTCTGGATTCTACACTGCATGCCCAGAAATCTGGCCAACAGTGGAGTGGCTGTGATCCTCCCCCACTTGTCTGAGGACAGTGAAGGCCGAATATCCTGACATGGGGGTACATGTCCACTGTCAGGTCTCATAGGGGCCTGGCAGCAAGAGCAAAAAAAGACTGCAATAGAAGTTTTGAAGTTGATAGCCACATGTCAGATACTTTCTGCCCTTTAAAGAGGCTTTTCTCTTCCTTTTTGCGTCAACTGTAACAAAAGAAGCGAGAATAAAATAAGCAAGTTGCTGTACGGAACACGAGGGCAATCAAAAACCACCACAGAGGCATCGCAGAGAAATGCAAGTACAGAGGATGAAATATCTGCCAGTGGTGGAAACTGTCTCTTTAAAATGAACTAGTGCTTTCCAGGCCCTTTTAGACTTGTCTCCTGGTGATAATCAGTCTTCCAGATGGTTTCTCATTGCCTAATGGTATACACGAGAAAGTAAACATTTCAGATTATTGAAAAATCAAGTATCATTGCAAAACTACACTCTCTCTCTCTCTCAGTTACATGTTTCAGGTGAAACACACTGAAAACATCAAACTAACGAGACTTCTCAAAGTCAAATTGAGAGCAAATAGGGGAAAACATCACCCAAGAAGAGCTTTACAGGCAAACAGACCAACAGTACTCAAAAGCACAAGCTCAGAGACATCCATATCTCAATTACATGACAACATAAAGAGGGCTGTGTACCATAAATAAAGCAGTTATACGAGTTAGAGCCAGACTAGAGCACAAGATGTAGGAACAGCTCCCTTAAAACTCCTCCCCATTATTCAAGTTTTTCCACCCCACCAGTGAATAAATTCGAGCTGACACTAGTAATGGTCAAAGTTAACTCAAAAAGTTAAGCTGAAATGCTTTAATCTCCGACTTGACATGGATAATAAGGATTCAACACTGTTTGAAATGAGTTATTTTATCTTAAGTAGACCTCTGAAAATATTTATACATTAAGCAATCTACTTACATTTGGTGTTTGATATATTCCTTGAGAAGTGCTTCATCCACAGAATACATCTGCACTCCTGTTCCATCACCATAGTAATAAATCACACCAGGGTTAAGCTCAGGCTGAAACACTTGGTCAATTCCTTCACCATACAGCTCTTGATAACCAACTGAATAGTCAAAGTTCACTTCAACATAAAAGAGAACATAAAATAACAACATCAGAAAATGAAAACAGCAACATTATAACCACCATCTTGAAACTTTTTTGCCAAGTTTCTGTTGGATTAGCATACTGCTGGGGTTTCCTCGGCCTCGTCCTCTTCCTCTGCTTCTGCCCCTTCCTCTGCCTCTGGAGAAGCCGCGGACGCCGCCGCCCTCGCTCCTGACGCTGCACACCTCGTCATGCTCGTCTCTCCTGTCTCTGTCGCGGCGCCAATCTTCAAGAGAAAAAAAAACAACACCACAAAATACCACACCACCACCACTGCAGCCACGCTGAAACATCCTGGTGCCCCTGAGTCCATGCCATCTGGTGGTGTGGTCCTCCTCATGCCAGCAGAGCTCTCAGCCTGAGCCCGGGCAATCCACAGTCTCAGCTGAGGGGTCAGAGCTGAAGCTGCAGGAGAGGAGCAGGAAAGGAGGTAATGGATGGACTGGCAGCCAATCCCAAATGCTTCTGAAGCAGCTGGACACCCTGCTGCCAGCTCAGAGGTCACAGCTCCCATGATCAGCTCAGGGAGGGAAGGAATGATCACAACAGCTCAGTCGCCTCCTGTGGACAACTCCCACCACCACCGGAGTGAGATGGGAATCACAGAATTGCAGAATGGCTTGGGTTGGAAGGACTCTTAAAGACCATCTGGTTTCAACCACCCCTGCCATGGGCAGGGACACCTTCCGCTACCCCAGGTTGCTCAGAGCTTCACTCAGCCTACCCTTGAACACTTACAGGGATGGGGCATCCACAGCTTTTCTGGGTAACCCTACTGGATCAAACTGAGAGCTGCTAAATTTAACAAAGGACTGACTAAAGATATGTGCTAAAAATTGTATTAAAAATCTTGGTTTAGCAATGATTCTTAGTGAACTCTACACATGTATGCTCATACACTCAAGTCCTGTCAAATAAGGCTCTGAATTTACAGAGAATATAATCTGTATGTGTGTAGTTCTCAGTCATTTGACCATCCTAAGAAAAAACTGCTGAAGGAAGTGATAACTGGTAAAAATCCTCTCCCCACCCCAATCCATCCTTCAGGCATCCAGAAACTCTTACATCCATGTTCCTAAAATGACTTCAAAAACTCCATGTCAGTAGCATCCAGTACTTATTATAATGAGCAAACATTCAAACTGGGAATGTATACTGCAATTTTAAAACTTAAACCAACAAACTTTCACTCAGCCTAAGATTTCTGCCACTTAACCAGCTGTATTCCCAACACCTGAGGACCAGAAGCAGCACCAGCTGTGGTGTTAGTACAGCTTTTTGCATGGCTGTGCTGAGAAATAGGTCAGGGAGCTGAGGGAATCGGTCCAGCTCAAAGGAAAAAACAACATCAGCAGAACTGCCAAAGCAGAGTTCAAAGTGTAGCTCCACAAGCAGCTGCTCTGGTAGCAACAAGCTGTGGGAATAGCAGCGAAGCAGGACTGATCAGACATCTTCTGAGGCTTTTTCCAAACTTTCTGCATTGTAAAATTTTGGGATGAGATGGTGTGTAGGGGGCCATGAAGAGGAATATAATATAATAGTTATATTCCTGCTGGTCACTGGCAAATATAAACACCAGGTTTCACCTGCTAAGATTACCTACTAAGCTCACGTGATATTACACTTCATTTGCCACCAACAGCAAGACCCAGAGAGTGAGAACTACTTACTTCTTGCCTCATTCCTTCTGTTGTTATGAGGTATTAACTTGTTTGCTTCCAGCACAAATCTGGAGCTCGTTCGAGAGCCTGCTCTGTCTTGACTGTCTGACCTCACATCATCCAAGTGAAGCGGCACCCATTTCTGCTTGTTACCTTGAAAAGTTAATATATTACTCTTTATTATACTAATACTTGAGGTTTCATCTCCTGAAAAGAGTCCATAGAATTTTCCTTGTAAAACTAGCAACAGTTAATTTCAAATTTTAAAAAGCAGGAGAAGCTTAACATGGAAATTTTAAGATATTACAAATGACCAAATAATAAATGCAGTAAACAAGAATTTCTGAAACTGAAATGTAACCTCACCTAAGATTCAAATACAAGAAATAAAGGCAAGCATTTTATTTAATGGCTTTTCAGATGTTCCATGATCAAGAATTTACAGCTATGTCAGTGTTAAATACAAACAGTAAATTCCTTGCTATAAAATTTCACAAGTTGTATATGAAACTTTGAGATTAAAAAAAAACATATAAAATTAACCACCACAATAAAGATTTCAGTCAGAAATCATACACATTTTCCTGAGAATTTAGCTGTGGTACCATACTTTCACCTCAAGATACTCAAAGTTCATTCATATGCATCAAAAATTATTAGCAAAGCTTTGTTTTATTTGCAGGCTGGCCTAAAGTATCTACTAACAATTTATTTAACTAGAATATTGATTGGTATTGTGGGGTCCATTCTTTTGTGGCTAAGAAATACAAGCAAGTACATAAAATGTGTTGTCTGCACTGGGGGAGGGAAAGAAAAACATGTTTTACCTGTGGAATGCTTTGCTTTAGATTTCCACTTAGACTGAAAAAAATTAAGTGGTACAGGTTTTTTTTAATATATCTATGTATATAGGAAGATTAATAAATCTGAACAGCAAAGGTCTTTAGGATGTGGAAAAACAAGCAAGACAAAAAAGCAGCTGATCTTGAAACTCTCTCTGCTTTTTCTCCAGCCTATTCCAATCCCCTGACCAAATGAGGTTTGCTTCCCACTTTGAGTGTAACAGATTGGATCAAAAGGAAGCAAATAACCTGGTTTAGTATGCATCAAAAATTATTAGCAAAGCTTTATTTTGTTTTATTTGCAGGCTGGCCTAAAGTATCTACTAACAATTTATTTAACTAGAATATTGATTGGTATTGTGGGGTCCATTCTTTTGTGGCTAAGAAATACAAGCAAGTACATAAAATGTGTTGTCTGCACTGGGGGAGGGAAAGAAAAACATGTTTTACCTGTGGAATGCTTTGCTTTAGATTTCCACTTAGACTGAAAAAAATTAAGTGGTACAGGTTTTTTTTAATATATCTATGTATATAGGAAGATTAATAAATCTGAACAGCAAAGGTCTTTAGGATGTGGAAAAACAAGCAAGACAAAAAAGCAGCTGATCTTGAAACTCTCTCTGCTTTTTCTCCAGCCTATTCCAATCCCCTGACCAAATGAGGTTTGCTTCCCACTTTGAGTGTAACAGATTGGATCAAAAGGAAGCAAATAACCTGGTTTAGTTCTCAAATGATCACTTCAGTGTGCAAGCTAAAAGTAGAGCAAGAAAATTGAGATGCTGGTGTTTATGCAGTAACAAACACACACACATATACATATATAAACTAACACAGCGCTACCTTTCAAGGAAAACAAAGATATCAGAGACAGAAATGGCTTGTACAGCCATGATAAAATCTTCCAGAAATCCTCAGAGCTCCAAGGACCTTCAACAGAGCATGAGCTGCTTTTTCCCCAGAAATTTGACTGAACAGAAGGCTCCAAACCCTGAGGGAGGCAGCCTGGCTGAGGCTTCCATGCAGACACCAATATATTCTCTGTTCACCCAGCTAATGCATATCATGAGAAGTTTCATTGAGTCACTCAGCTGGAATCAATGCAGCTGTATCAACCGTGACTTACTGCATTATACACAGTGCCTAAACTCACCTTTTTTCCTTTGGTTATTAGTTTGAGCTTCATCTTCACTAGTGTTATCTGCTGGACCATCTGGCTTTGCCTCTGGATTGTCCTTGA